TGTGTGTGTATATATATATATATATTTCTATATATATTTATTATATATATATAATTTCTATATATATATAATTCTATATATATATTTCTATAAATATATATATATTTCTATTATATATATATATATTTCTCTAAAACACAGACCGCCACCTCCGCCGGACAACTGGTAACAAGAGGAGGAAAAACAAAGACTATAATTGCAAGCGGACTCGGGAAAATATTAATGTAGCGTCACGATATATATGCAAAAAAAAAAAAACGCAAGAAGCATAAAATATAACACGTACAAAATTGTGTCCTGCTTGCATCGTAAACAGAGTTTTATGTTACGTTTGTCATTCGTGTATTTTATCGCGAGAGATTCTTTTCACGTGTATTGTTTATTTGTTAAAAAAAAAAATAAAATAAAATAAACTTTCTGCAAACTTGAGACGTTGTTGTTTTTTTTCTGTATCTTTGTTGTTTTTCTTTCTTATCTTCGCGCATAACGGGGTTACGTGAAAAAAAAACTTTTCTTTCACAAGAAGACGCAACCTCACGATACAGACACGAACGAGGCCGCGCTCGCCTCACCTATGGAATTGTTCGCGATACAAAGGTACATCCCGATGTGTTCCTTGTTCAACCGAGTCAATTGCATCCAGGATGATCGCATCAACGGTTCGGGGCCGTCGCTCGTATGCACCGTCGCCTCGTGTTCCTCTCCTACAAATGAAACGGATGTGCGCTCAAAATTTCAAGACATTTTATTTCGACACACACACACACACACACATTATTTTTATCACAATATTATGATCTTATTATTGTTATATTATTACCCGGCAACTTGAGAACTTTTCTCCCGTCGGCCGAGTGAAATTCCCAAAAGATATCCGGCACCGGGAAGCCTTTGGCTTCGCAATTCAACGCGACTCGTTGACCGAAATGCGAGGAAACGTCTTCCAGATCCGACAGGATCCAAGGTCTGCTCTCGCACGGGCCGAGGTGTTGCAGCCGTAACGAAGACGAGTTTCTGAGTTTCATGGCCTCCTCGTGCAACGCGCACGGCGTCCCGTAAGTTTCGTTATTGCTGCCACAAGCAGGACTCTGTTCCATGCAGACGCAAGTTGCCTCCGGGGCATCCTATAAATTTTCCTTTAATTAATTACATTCTCTATTTTCTCTTAACGCTGAGACGTTGTGCTATTGTCTTTCTCTTCTTTAATTTTTTTACGTTGCTTTTTATTATCGCACAAAACCACCCGAGAGCAGTTTTTTCGATATTCGGAAAGAAAATGACTTTAAACACTTCTGGTACTTTCCGGGATAAGTTTAGTCGCTTAAAGTTTGTAACGCGCGCCAACGTCTTCGCTATGTTCCGAGTATTTCTGTGGAACCGACGTGAATACAAATGCGGAATATAGTCTCGCGGGAATAGTTTACGTTAGCTAGTTTGATCAAATAGAAACTAATTAGCGGCCACTTAAATAGTTCGATGCGAAGTAAGCGATTATCTTTATCTTATTATTAACGCGGTCGCGCTCGAGACGAGATTGGCGAGATGAAGTTGGTCGACCGTTTCCGAGCAACTATGATCTACCTTAAGATCACAAAGCGAAGAGTATAAATCTTTGTCCAGTCAGCGTCTGTCATAAGCGATCCGCTTGATTGTTTGATTGCATGACGTGTGTGCGCGTATATTCTCACAATGCGATCACGGCCCACGGGTGAGCGACAAGACGAAATTAGACGCGCGAAAAGGCCAGCGGAACGGGTCAGCGACCCGTATATAAAGTCGCTGGTGGCTTGTGATCTTAAAACTCAGCGATAGATCGCGACCGACCACCAGCGTGGTGTGGTCAGTGGGTGGATGACACACGGGATTGGACGTTAGGATGTCGTTTTTGCGCAACGCAACTCGTTACATTTTTATTTTTGTATTTGAACTAACCCAGAAAGCGGCTAATCTCATTAGCGAGCTCGTTGAGTTTGAGCGATCTGGAACGTGATATCTCTCTCCGAGATCCCAAATTGGGGAAGCGAATTTATCACTTATCGCGGCGATAAAAATCGCGTTTCTCGCTCGAAGCAGTAAAGCAAAAAAAAAAAAAAAGTACTTATATTAAAAGTATTTATAATCGATAAATATATTGAACTTTTTAAATTTCTTATAGATTTGTATTTTTTTAAAATATATATGCAATGTAAAACAAATAAAAAAATATATGTAGATGGAAGTTGCAAAAAAAAAAATCAGTGTAATTTTTTTGAAGTGTTAAAGAAGTTTCGAAAACAGTTAAATGTTTTCTTTTTGTTTCAGTATCAAAATACACAATTAACGAAAATGAAGAAATTATTTATGAAGCTCGTTTGTTCCAAGAGATATGTATAATATGTTATATAACGTAACGGTCTCTTAGGTTTTGCGAGGACGAACTAAATAATTGTACCTCTTCGTGAAGATCGGAGCGCAACTCACACAGATAATTTCTTGCGCAGAACCCATCGTTACGGCTCTTTGGAGATAGAAGAGGGATGCTCGCGTTCCAACACGGTTCGCCAAGAAGACGGGCGCACAAACCACTTGGACAGCATCCACAAGGGTCAGGTACCGAGCCCAGCAAGCACCTTCCGGGATTCTCTGGACATCTACTTACACACGTGAACGACAAGAAAAGTGTTTTACCGTCTTTTTTTGTATGAGAGGAACGACAAGGATTATCTCGATCTTGAAGTTACACCACATCTCTTCGTGAAGTTAAGAGAAGCAAGATTTGCGTATGTAAAATATAAATCTCGAAACGCGTTCTGATTCTACAAAGATTTTTTCAGTCCGGAGTTAATTAACATAAACACGGTTAATTCGTGAAAATAAACAAAGACATTTTACCTTAATCGTGTGTACGTTTTTTGATTTCTAATCAGCACTTCTAATTAATTCTATTATGTTGTTTATTGTAAACGAGTATTATTGCGACTACAATGTAGTTTTACTTTTTTCTATAATTAAATAAGAAACGTATAACACAAGATATACAGATAGATAAAGAATTGTAATTCTATATATATCTTGAACTATATTGAACTTTGGTTTTACAAGTTCATTCGCGAGCGTCGCACGTACCTGTAATATCCGCATTCGATGCAACCTTCCGGCAGCGTTTTCTCGGTAACACTCTTATTTTCGACGGTTTCGGCGAAAGCACCTAGTTGAAACGTCGCGTATAAGACCAACACCGAGAAAAACCCGAACGGAAACGCTCTCCGACGTGTCATTTCGCCGACTGGCAGAATGCGCGAGCGTCATTCGCCATGTCATTCTCGATACAAGGGAGGGAGAATTAAAATATACATATACACACGCATATGTACATATATATTGCATCATATATATTAAAAGAAAAAAAAACAAATCCGCGCGTCAGATAAAATTGTCACACAACTCTCGCGAGATCTGTCACCGCTTATATTGCGCGCTAATCACTTGAATATTTCTATAAACAAATAAACAAGTGATAAAATAACATATTTATTATGATAAAATTAACAGTGTGTGTTTGCGCACAGTTTAATAAATTCGTTACAATATCTTTTATTTATTGTAATTTGTCGTATAAATTTCAAACAACGTGTGCGCGCGTACACGTGTGTGTGTGTGTGTGTGTGTGATTGGTTTCCATTTAAATTAACTTGCGGTTTAATAGTTTTGAGAAGTTTCGTACAAGTTTCAGATTGATTCTATAAATTCTGTGTTCAACATTGCGTCCAGTATATTTTATAAATATTTGTACGATCGCAAATACTTCCAGCAACCTCTGTTGCGTGACGAGCAACGGCGGTAAAATGTTAAACCGGAGGGCCAGGTAATGACGACGAGGATCACTAACGCGAAGAATATTAATGTCAGAGGACCTGATGTGAGAATGGAATATCCGACGCTACCGAGATTAGTCAACACGACGTAGCAACTTCCGTTCTTCCCTTCCTGTGTTTGCGTACTCAACGTTCTCCTCGATGATGTACAGCTGACACCTACCGGACGCACCCACCTGTCACATTGGTCCTTTTGATCATAACAAGGGTGTAAATAACATCAGTTCACCACTACATCAGATTAATGAAATTAATACAAAAAATTAATTATCGGATTTTGTTTTTTAATATTGTTTTATAAATATATTATGTATATATTATATATATATATATATATTATATATAT